TGTTGCCATTCTGTAAAATCAAGTTTGCATTTTGCTCTAGCACGTAGGTGTCAAAACGCTTACAAAAAAATGTCATTACACAAGAAATGCTCTGTAGACAAGTATTTCAATCGGGTATCAAGAAGTAAAATTGGTTCCTGGACTTTGATATGGTTTTTATACCCAATAATTATCGAAGTGCTCATTGGAATTTGCTTGTTCTTCATCCCCACAAATAACACGTTGATATCCTAGATTCATTAAGCAGGAATGGAATGGAAATGGAAGACAAGATTAAAAAACTATTACTGGTGGCAACCATACACTTTTCATGCGCTTACAATCAAAAGGTAGACCTGTCTCAATGGAAGTTCTCCCATTTTCTTTGTCCAAGTCAAACTGATAATAATAATAATTGTGGTGTATTTTTGACATTCTCTGCCACATGTATCGCTAAGTTTAAAAAAAATAAATGTAAAGCACAACATACTGATTTGTCAGTTTCGACAATTCATTTTACAGAAATTATTCGAACGCCAGTATGATTTCCCAAGGCAGCAATGTGTAGCATAGTTTCACATTTATTGTATGATTTCAACTACTCCGCCCCAGGATCAGAAGCTATATGTTATAGCAGACCTCAATGTTCTACCCCTTTGGAAAGTTGATGAAAGTTGCTTTCAAATATCTTTATTTTCTGTAAGCGATGCCTGGGACTATAAAGTTCAACAAACAGATGTGATGTAGGGAAACAGGTAACAGGTTCACATAACTCTGACAACTTGTAACATGTTCACGACTCATGACACTGAAGACTAGTACTGTACAATGTTATCACGTAAGGCATGAATTATTCAAGTCGAAAATCCAGCGATTTGTTCATTAAAGTAATCTTTTAAACTTGCCATAAAACGTAATACTTAAGTTTAAAGTAAGTTAACGTGTTATTTGTAACTAAGACATGAAACTTGTCGAATAAATTCCGTTTACAGCATAAAGTACAAGCTGATATTGTTTCGGCTGTTTCACACATTCAACATGATTATTGTCAAATTAATAAAAATGTTTGGTTCAAAGTAATCGGTGTCAGTGTAAATTCTAGTGAAGAAGAACGAGAAAGTTCGATAAAAAAAAAAAAACGTACTGTCACAGCTTTGGCGAATTAAAATATTTTAATCGAACAACATCTGATCGAAGGTGCTGCAGAGCAGACATTACCACAAATTTATAAGACTTACTATTTATACCTGTCTGACTCTATTCGCAATGTTGTTCTGCATTCTGAGTGTTCTTAAGTTATGAAATTTGTCCAATTAGTCACTGATTTCATTCTTAGACGTAAATGGTAACATGTTTTGAAATTGGACTATAATAATATGCTGGTTTTAAAAATATGAACGTGAAATCGATACACTGCATGGTCGTAAAAAAATGTTTTTGTTAATACGTACAAATTTCAGTTACAAAACCTTATACTGCGAAATTTCGAGGGCGCTCTATTGCTGGGTTTGTTTAGTGTGGGGTGATGGCCAACAGACTACAATACATCACACACCCGTATCATGTTGAGTTACAATTCTTATTTTTTGACCGAAATAAAGCCTGAAAATTGTACATGGGCCATGCATGGGCGTCTGGAGAAATTTTTCCAGGATGGGGCAAAGTCAAAGTTTAGTCATTAAAGTCAAGCGAATAGACAAGGTCCCACAGTCAGATTTGATGGATGTAATATTTGTAAGGTTAAATTCGATGACGAGGAACCCACTTTGAGACTAATAATGGCTGGAGACTGGTACCTGATGATGACAAAACCTTGTCGAAACGTTGTACATTTGCTGTTATATTAAAGTTTTTCTTCATTACCCATTCAAGCCGTCTCCAGCCATTATTTGTAAGGTTAGTTTAAGCCGTACCACGTCGGTTTCTTTGACGATCTGAGTGAGAATTAGCATGTCCAATACTCAAAAAGCTACCGTAGTAGCGACTTTTTTTCAATATTTAGCTACAGGGTAAATATCTGGAGATTTTAGATAGAGCTTCTGACAAACCTGGTGACTTTAACTAGAAATGAAAATTAAATTTTAATATGAAGTGTGAAGTTATGAAGATTGAATAAAACTTGTGAATTCATATACACATGCTGAATGAATAAAGAAAGAATTGTGTTTTTCATTTTCCAGGGAGGAAGTGCCCCTTTGTTCCCCCCTCCCCCATTCAGTTGACACCCCTGGTGCTATGTGTTCTCAGACAACGAATCATCAAATCTGAAATAGATGTACAACATAATAGGCAATGAGTAATTGAAGGAAAGAAACTGTTAAATGTTCGCTTCCGTACTAATGATATTTTGTCCTTATTGTTCGCTGCTTTTGTCTGCTCACTTCAATCCGATTTCTAGGCTTACATTTTTAAACTTTTCAATCTTAAGGTTATAATTACCACCCACAGCTCTCTCTAGCAAACAAACAAATTACTACATTAAATATATAGCCTACAGCAATACTATACAGTTTTAAATAGCAGTTCTTTAAACCAAAAAATCATAGTTAAAACTGATACCAAATTTTCGTTGCTTAGCAGTGTATACCGAAAGATAGCGAGCTTCTTATGTTTTAATACGCTAACATGTTGCTGTAGAAAGTTTCTTCTGCCTTTTCTTCAGTTTGTGTTCACATTTCTGCACTTTAAATTAATAGTTTTATTAGTTAACATGATTGTAGAAAATTACAAAAGAGTGTATAATATAATTGGTGGAATTATAAATATAATTTAGTTATGATAACTAAGGTTAGTTTTTCTTAATTACGGACGGAGGAAAATTTGTTGTTAGGTGAAAAAAAATCAACCCTTTAAGGAAAATTTTACTTTTCAATTGTAGAAAAGAAATTATCCTAGATTTGGGAAAAGAAGGCAGATACCCTCCTCCCCTAATAGATTAATTATTATAGTGTTATGCTTTCTCAATAAAGAACAGATTATCTCAGAAATGTCCAGAGATATCAGAAGAATGAATAGAGGATTCAAATCTGTCTCTCTGTCACTTAGAAGTGCTGTCCAGCATTTAGTATCCTCGTCAGAATGTTAATTTGTTATAGCTTGCATTGTAGAAAATTGATTTCATTTTGTTTAACATTTGTTCAGTCTCTTTTTTTTTTCAACTCAGTCAAATCAAACTTTCAGCTTTAAATTCTGTGATATATATTCTTCCTGTTATTTGCGGTTATTATCCGAAAGGTAAATCAATGTATCTGAAAATACCACAGAACAAGAAGCATCGCTTTGAAAGTTTGGTGTTGAACAAGCTTACTTTGGAGAAAATGCAGTTGGTATACCTTCATATTAAATATTATACAAAATATAGGTATATATATATATATATAAATATATATAGGTATAGCATTGTAAGCATACTCAAGGACTTCAACTCTCATGCGAATAATTAGTCCTTAGCATAGGCCTGGCTGGCCAGGCGGTTCGGACGCTTGGCTCACAATCTGAGGGTCGCGGTTCGAATCCCCGTCCCATCAAACATGCTCGCCCTTTCAGCTGTGGGGACGTTATAATGTGACGGTCAATCCCACTATTCGTTGGTAAAAGAGTAGCGAAACAGTTGGTGGTGGGTGGTGATGACTAGCTGCCTTCCCTCTAGTTTTACACTGTTAAATTAGGGATGGCTAGTGAAGATATCCCTCCTGTAGCTTTGCGCGAAATTCAAACAAAACAAAACAATCCTTAGTCTAGGATGGTAAAGCAATGAATTGCCATGAGCAACTTGTCTTTTGGCTCTGTGCAACTCTAGGCTTCTTAACGATCCACAGTCGCCCAAGTAGTATAACCCTTAGTTCAGAGAGGCTCACTACTGTCCTATGGTTTATTGTCTTCACCATTCTATGCCCACCTTGTTAGTGAAAGAGCTCCTGTGTCCATCAACAGCAGATCCAGTCTCTTTTTGTCATTCTTGGATGGCTTTGACTAGAGCTAAGGTTGGGTTATTCTGGCCTGCAAGGGGCTGGGAGTTTTATACAGACCACCTCATTCAGCCTCAGACTCGTCAGGTGGCATACCACTTCAACAAACTTCAAACGTCTGTGTTTCCTCGTACTGAAGTCGATCTTCGGGAAAGAGAGAACAAGGATAGTCAATCTGCGTGCATCAGACATTGGCAGTTCTTCTTCCTTAGTCATTTGTTGCAATGAAATGGAAGTCATTGACCTTTTGAATATTAGACTCCTAGACTCGTCAACTCTCATAAACAATCATCTCCCCTAGTCGTGACATGCAAGGATACCATGCATTTTCTACCTTCTTGCTTTAATGTAGACATTTTCATAATTTTTCGTTTATTCTGGGTCTGTGCAGTCGTTGTGTGTGAAAACTGCATATACATAGAATAACTGGTAAATTTCGAATAATACTATATTAAAATAAGGAATTATGATAATATGCTGCAAAAGTATAAGCGTGATATTCAAAGAACTTGCGTGGTCTGTGGTTAGATCATTGGACTCGCAATCTACGAATCGCGGGTTCGAATCCTGTTACCGAACACGTTTGTCCTTTCAGTCGTGGGAGCTTTATAATGTGACTTCGGATCTCACTTTTTGTTGGTAAATAGTAGCTCAAGAGTTGGCGGTGGTTGGTGTTGAACTAACTGCCGTCCCTCTAGTGTATCACTTCTAAACTAGGGACGGCTAACGCAGTTAGCCATTGAAGAGCTTTGCGCGAAATTTAATAAACAAACATTGAAAATTAAAGTAAAAAAACCCACAATTTCAATAGTATACATTGATAGTAACCAACATTTTGCCATTTTAACGCTTAACTTACAGTTTCGGAGTAATTTCACCTTTCAATTAGAAGTTTGATTTGTTTCCCACAAAAATGAAATTAAAAATTCTTGGTTTAGCTATTTTTCAGGAGTAAGAAATATCTCGCCATCTATCTCCTTAACTCCAGCGTACTCTAACATCCGGGAATTTCATGCGGCGCCTTGCTAAGTAAGCAATAAGGCCAAACTAGGTTAGTAGGCGAATTATCGGTGGTTAGGGATGAATTCAGGTGTCGTTTGAACAGCTGAGTGTGATTGTGTAAGTTATAAGATCACCGGTGATTTTTGTATTGCGTTGGTTTCGCTTATTGCAACCGATGTTATCCACAGAGTGCATACACGAAGGACAAGCTATTTTTAAGTAAGTAACTTTTATTACTTGAAATTAACATTATGTTCATGTAACAGCACTACTTACTACTACTAGTAGTAGTACTGCTACCAATACTGTATTAGTAATACTAGGACTTCTACTCATAGGGCCTCCTTCCTTGGCTAAACTAAAGTAGATCTTAACGATTGGGCTCGGTGTTTTGCTTTAGGCCTAGGATTGAATAACTAACTTTTATTACTCGTACTAACGTTAGTAGTTACTGAGGAATCCCAGGACTAGTAGTAGGAGTAGTGCTACTGCTAGTTCTAGACTGCAAATACAAATTTAGTGTTATTTGACTAGCGTAATTGTAAAGACTCAAAGTGTAACATCAAAAACGAAACTTAAAAGTAACACATTAACGCATAATGTTAATAGTAGTTAGTACAGTCATTTCTTACATATTCATTTAAAAGAAATACTTTAGGCTTAATTTAAGTTTTTAATGTTTCTAAAACGTATTTTAACAAAACCTTTACTTTACTAAACTTTCAAAACATCTGTAAAGTTTCTAGTTTTGTGTAGTTATGCAAGGTCGAATAGTAAAAGTAAAACTCAGTGTGAACAGAGGTTTTCTTTCTGGACTGTACATTATGCTAGTAAAATTCATTCCTAGTTATTTTTATGTATCATTTACATTAAATCTGGACACAAAGTGACAAAGACTGTAAAGTTTAAAAGGAGTATTTTACACTTGTTGTAGGAAAATAAAATTCTAAATTTTTCTTTTATCCCAAAGTAACATAAGACTGGCAGACCTTTTTATTTAATTATATACTTCACCACACTTAACCAGTTTATAAATGTTTTTATTAATATTTCTTCAAAAGAAATATTCATAAAACATTTATGTTAAAAACAAAACTATAGCTCTTATCACCCTGTGATATACCAACTTTGTGTGCGTTTTGCTATCATTAACATAAAATATCTTAAACTTATTCTATAAGGAGAAGTATATATATATATATTTATAAAGTGTAGAACTTTCTAAACTATTGGATATAAAATGGATATTTAGTTCATAGAATATATCCTGATTCCCATCCTCTCTTAGCACTCAGAAAACTAAATTCAGTTTTGACATTCCAAATATTCACCAATCTTGTTTTTTCTTAAACTCTTGTAAAGTTCACTCTCTGCCACAATTGTGTGTTTTGTTACATTAGGAGGATAAAAACGTATTTCCCTACAGTATTTCCATAAGTGTAAAATGCTAATTTTAATATCAAGATCTTTGTGCCGAGTGTCGTTATACATTTTTGTAAATGTAACAGATACTGGACATGACTTAATGCCATACAGTGTGCTAGACTTTTGCTTCTTTGTGTGAACCCAACTGTAATGTTTCATATTTCATAGAATTTTGGTGATATATGCTATACTTATAGGAATGGCTATGCACTGTTTTGGTGCTGCAAAAAAACTAAAAATATTTTTATTTGTATCAAAAACCCAATTCAGTATCAGGCATTTTCAGGAGGCTATAAAGTTCATGTAAAACAGCTACAAGGTATAAAAGTTAAAAACTTAAACAGGTGTTTAACATTTTGCAAATACTTATATTTTCATCATCAAGAACAACTGTATAACTTATATGGGAGAATTAAACTACAATGTATATAGGTACAAAGGGATCACTTGATAAAATAATGAATAATTACCCCACTATGGGTTTGTGGTGTGTTTGGCTCTTGACTAACGAGATCACTATGTGGATACTTCTCACATATTGTTAAGGTTTGAATGATGTTTTGCACTTTTTAGTTTAAGTTCTTTTAAACCTTTATTGGATAACTAATTATATCAATTTAAAGAGCAGTTTAAGTTAAATTTACAAACATTTCAGTGACAAAAAATATACTGAATGGTTGAAAACAAAAAATTACAACTTGCAGCATTTTAGTGAATTTCAATTATGAACTATAGATTTGTTCTTGACATATATGCATGTATTTTATACAAGCAAAACCGCACTAGCTCTGGGTGTCAGGCTAGTAGATCATTACACCTCTGACATTGTGCAAATGAAAGCCTAAATGTTCAATAACTTCAATACTTGTGTATAAATACTTGTGATTAAATAAAAAAACAAAAGATTCAAGTTCAATAATATATTTTGTATATAGTGTTTTATATCACCCCATCTCCCCCAATATAACTTTGAACAATACTTGAACTGATGTATTTTGAAGTATCTTAGTTATTCTTAATTTAAGCAGTGTATTCCTGTAAATATTTCAGATATTCCCTAATATCCAATATGATGCTAGGAACACCGGATTAGTTGACTATATGTTAATTTACTTGCATGTTAAAAAGACATCTGGATTATATCTATGTGTATAGATAATAAATAACAAGTTCATTTGCTAAACATAGAAGGAAGATGTATGTGCAGGTTTAGTAGTAGATAAGAGAAAGAAGCATATTACTTGTCATCTTATATTGAAAAGTTTCTTGAGAATAGATGAAAATTAGTACCTACACTTGTTTATCCAAGAACAGTAAGGCTAGTTTGCAGGTTTACCAGTTTTTCTGATTGAAGAGTAAAGTTAATTCAAGTAAAAATGAATAATAATATATGATTGGTGTTAACATGAATAATATTGTTATTAACCATTAACCCTATTCTGATTTGTAAATAACTCCTGTTTAATTGATAAAAATTACACTTCAACAACTTAATCTAGTTCACATCATAACAGTTGTAGTTCATGTAATTTAATAATATAAATAGTGTCTCACTGTGTTGTATTCCAGCCAGCCTGATGAGCTATGGTATTGAGTAAGTGGCCTTCTTGGCATTGATAGAGTAGGCATTGTGATTGACATTGTTATACATTCATTCTTTTTTACTTTCACTCATAATTTCTTAGAATTGGCACTATAATGAATTTTCAGAACCCAGGAAGCTATATAGCAGTATGGCTACATGTCGTGGACTGCAACTCTTCTGGTATCTAATCGGAAGCCACAGAAATGCTGTGTTGTTAAGGAGGAATTTTAGTGAAGTTGTTTATAGATATTTGTGTATGTTAGGAGTTCTGTGACACTAGTTTCAGCTGTTGTTAAGGGTACATGTAGTTGGACTGTTATTTGTGGATTAAATGTGAAGCATAAAGATCTTACCTGAGAATAATTTGCTACTACAAACAATTAATAATATACTGGTTTTATGGGATTCACTAAAACGTATAAAACAATTGTATTTAATACTATTCAGATTTTTTTCATTAAAAACTTTGTCATCTAGATCTTGTTGTAGAAGTTAGACACAATGGTGTTAAAAGAACAAAAACTTACAGAAGGAAAGTAGGAGGAAATTTTACTTTAATATTTTCCATGAAATTAGAATGGGGAGGGAGAGATATTGAACATCTCATTTGTGAAAGAAAGGGATCCCAGATTAAGTTCTCTGGATATTTAGTTTCTTTGTGCTGCATTGAGAGAGTAGTTAAAGATATTCGAGTTTGATTACTATATTATATTAATGGAAAAGAAACATGCTGTACATATGTACTGTACAAATTGTAAAATCCTAAATATTTGCACAACACTGGTCATTGAGTTTCAGTCAAGATGTGGAGTATACATTTTACTGTATTTCATTTTAATAAAGGGCTGAAGTTTCAGTCATTGCTATTTTCTTGAGTAAGTAAAACCTTGGAATTAAAGAAAACCAGAACAATAGATCAAAACTATTCTTCAAGGGGAGCAAAAGAGTGATACAGCCACAGTAAAATGAAGGTGTCTCAAATAATTTCTGTAGTTGTCATCAGAATAGTGACTAATTTTAAGAAGGCTATATTAGCTATGTGACTCGGAGAATTCTGTTGGATTATTTAGATTTTGTTTCATAAAGATAGTGATTAGTTTCTTTATTCCAAATGCCATCATTGATCATGAGTATTTTATTTATTTGTCTCATTTAAAATTAGGTATGATAAGTTTTTAATTTTTACATTTGAGTTAAACTTATAACAGTAAATAAAAGATATAGATAAAAATATGATATTTAGTACTTACATCTGAAGTCTTGTCTTCAAGATTTTGCACTCGTAAAATCCAAGTCTATGTCAAAAATAATCCTAATTCAATATAATGATAATTTGGTCTTAGAATATATATTTTTGTAAATTTAATTATCCAGCTTAGAATACGAAACTTGTATAATTTGTATGGTTTTCTAACTAATATAGAAATGGCTTAAAATAATTACCATATCTCGTCAAACAGAACTCCAACAGCAGCATTCAAAGAACATGATGCCAAAATATTCAGTACTGCTTAACTCAAGGTCTTTAGACCCAGTAGTTGTCATTCAAGTGAAATCATCACTTTCAATTTATTTCAAATAAGTTTTGAAAGCAGGATGCTCAGACGTTTATCAATTTTCAATCTTTCTGACTTCTAGCTATAAGAAACTAAAAGGATATAGTGTGTTAGATGTTAAGGATTATACTTAAATGTAAATTCATTCTCTTGTATTTGTTGTCCTACAGACTAAACATTTCTAAAGTGAGGAAAACAATAGTTACTAAAATATGGTGATTATGCACTTACTTTCATATTTCTGCTGTCAGGAACAATAAAAAAAACTTTTATTTATTTATCTAAATATCTTAATTCATATTTTTACATATTTGCAAAATTAAGGCATACTCCATTTCCTTATGTATATAACATGTACATTCGCTATAGTTGATTTAATAGTAAGGATAGGTATAGCTGTACTATAATGTATGCCAATCTAATACAGCACAACAGTGAAAATGATTTTGAAAAATCTCACTGTTAACAGAAATCTTGCACTTTATGTTCCATATGAAAATACAATATAAAATTGTAGTAGAAGTACAAAGAACTATCAAAACTGTATAAGAACATTGGAAAAAAACTGATGTTATTACATAGTGGTGTCACAAGCTAAAAGCATATTATAAGTGTGTTATGTAATTTGAGGTTTGTATTTGCTAATTTTATTA